TTTTTTTCAGCTGTGCATTGTTCATTTGTTTTTTCTTCTATGTTTTTCTGTCATATTCTTTTCTTCTTCTTCCTTTCTTTGTTATCTGTAATTGCTTGGTTTCCCTTTTAAATTGTTTCTTTTATGGTTTGTCTGCGATTGATCTTGAGAATGGTTGTGTCATTATCGCAAACATGATTTCATTGGTTTCCCCCCACATTAGTTTTGTTTTCTATGATCCCAAGTAATCACTTACATATTTTTTTTTTAGTTTTAGGAAAAGTTAGTTTTTTGTTATGAATGAAGTTTTTAGGATATATTATTATTTACCTTAACAGATGCATTTAGGTAAAAAATAAAAATAAAAAAAAGAAAAGAGAGAGCAAAAAAGAAACTTTCTTAAAGGGTATGAAGCGGGTTTAGGCATCAGAAAAAAAAAAAAGAAAAAAAAAAAGAGAAACAAAAGAGAGGAAAAGTGCAGAAAAAGGGAAATATGAAAAGGCCAGAAACGAAGAAAAACAGAAATGGAAAAAGAAAGAAAGAAAACAAAAACGGAAAAAGAAAAGAAAAGAAAAAACAGAAAAAAAAAAAAAAAAAACCAGAAACGGAAAAAGGATAATGAGGTGTTTTAAATTATTTTTTTTGTGTGTTTATTTTTCTTGGTAGTTATTATTTATTGAAAATTTTTTAAACTTAAAGTATGTGGTAATCATATTTATATGGAAGTTATGGCATATCTAACACTTTCTCCATACTTAATTGACCTACTAAATCTAGTTAATTTCTACATAGATTTTGATAATTTGTTCTATTTCATTTAAATAGATGATGACTCCATTCATTTTGGCACGTCAACATCTCCCTTTTAAGGAGATATTTTAACAAAAAAAAAAAGGGTGATTCACACTTGTACATATATATTAGGTTAAAACCCCATTTTAGTCTCTGAACTATTGTACGGATCCCCGATTTAGTCCTTGAACTAAAAAAATCTTTGATTTGGTCCCTACTGTTTACTCATTTTACCCCAGCTTAGTCCTTCTGTTAAAAATCATCCGTTAACTCACAGATATATCAAAAATTTAAGACACGTTAGTTATACAAAAGGACAAATGATGACATGGCAACATGACAAGTCATATTCATACCCAACACAAAAACCAAAGTGGGGCCCACCAAATTACAATTTTGCCATCATCTTCTTCCTCCAACATCCTCTTTCTGGAATCTTCCTTCATTCAGACAATCAATTTAATCAAACAATTAAACAATCAATTCAAAGGAACCTAACGCCTGGGTTGAATCGAACCCAACAAGTGCCCTTTCTTTTTCCTTCCTGTTCCTTGCCTTGCCTTCTTCATCAATCAATTCTTCATCTTCATTAAACAACCAAACCCACAAAAAAAAAAAAAAAAAAAAAAAAAAAAAAAAAAAACAGAAATTTTTTT